GGGGTGGGGTGGCCCTGACCCAAAAAAAAGTTCCCCAGCCCTGCAAGATTGAGTGACCGTCCACTTATCATTCCCCAGGCATATACATTTATATCCAAAGTAACACACCCAGGGCAGTGCCCTAACATAACTTTGTGCAGACCTGTTGACACTTTTTGCTGTTGTGAGTAAACAGGTGCTATTTATTGCCAAGTAAAAAGCTTTGTGTGGGTAACATTCCCTAACTCGTATTGCATCAGCCATCAGGTTCTTTGCCACTTGTTCTGGGGTTTGACCTCAGGGCCTTCATTTTTTTTAAATTCCTCTTTCTAGTTGCTGGGGGAGCAGACCCCTTTGCCCCCCACCACAAGCAACTGCCACCTTCTGTGAAACAGGCATTACAGAGAGACACCTCAGTTGTAAATACTTGTATAGAAATGACCGGAATTCCTTGCAAAGAAGTCAGAGGGGTAGCCATGTTCGTAACTTTAAAAAAAAAATAGTCCTTTTAGCACCTGAGAGACTAACACCTACAAGCAGATAAATCATGAGCTTTTGTAGGCAAGAGCTTCCTGGGGGGTTTGCCCATGAAAGCTCAGGAGCCCACATCTCTATTTGTTGGTCTCTCCAGTGCTGTAGGACCACTAGTTTTTGTTTCTCAGTATTATTAGTGCTCACAGAGCGACAGTTGAGAGCCCGCTTGGTTTTGGTTACCATGCACCTGCTACTGGAGATTAGTACCCAAAATGGATCTATGCCAGGTGGACAAATACACACTCAGCACTGTGAATACACCTACCCCCTGCCCTCACGCTCTACAGTCTTTCTGGCAAGAAGGATTTGAAGGTGGGGGGGAAGGAAAGCACAAAATGCTCCTTGCAGTGCACCATGGCTACAGATGCTGCAAGGGAAAATCCTTCCACCATCAGTGCACGTGGTGGAATGGACACGAGCAACATCGGTCCAAGAACATCATCTTTACAAAAGAACTGTCCTGAGTTTTCATGCGCTGCTTTCTACTCAGTAGCCCTTTACAGGGGATAAGGCATGAACAATTCTGCCCAGCTTACGTCTTTTCTCCACAGTTAACTGAAGGTGCTTTTGGATCAAAAAGGCTTGAGAATGGCCGGGCGGGGGGGGGGGGGGGGAGGGAGGATTAGATGAAAGGCAAGGAAATTTGGGGACTAGCAGGAAAACCTTTCCTAGAGCAAAATGAATGCGCCGATATAAAGTCTCCTAAATGAAGTAGGAAGCGGCTCCAGTGCTGGATATTTTTAGACACCAAGTGGCCTGTGCACTTGTAAATCCAACAACGGAACGATTCTGCACTCAGAGACTTGATTGGATTTTTTTCATCTAACCACCAGGGATTTCCTCTGCCTCTTCCCCGCTCCCTCCCCCAAACAAGCTGTGTTGTGCTACGCAAGAGCAAAGCTCACCTGTAAAAGCACCATGAATAAAGGTTGGGTCACACTTCAGAACCAGAGGGCTGTTTCCTGGCAGCAACTGCACCCCCACCTCTGGACTTTTTGCTGTCAGCGATTAGCACAGGGGGCCG